ATCGCCAAGGAATAATCCACTTTGAATTCTTACCACCTAATGCAACAATTAATGCTCAAATATACTGTCAGCAATTAGAGCGTTTGAACCAAGCTTTGAGGAAAAAATACCTGCTCTAGTGAATCGAAAAGAGGTGATGTTTCATCAGGACGATGGGCGACCCGACACAGCAAGATGCACGTCACAAAAGATCGAAGAACTTTGTTGGGAGAAAATTCCTCATCCACCTTATTCTCCCGATCTTGCTCCTTCAGACTACCATTTGTTTCGTAGCTTACAGAATCATTTGAAAGAAACAGCTTTTGTAACACAGGAAGAGGTTAAAACTGACATTTGTGAGTTGTTCGAATCAAAGCCAAAAGAATTTTACAGTAAAGGAATTCGTATGCTTGTTAATAGATGGAAGGAAGTCATAGATAACCAGGGAAAATACATTGTTGATTGAATCTGTAATTAAATGTAACATTTAGTTACTTGTTTTCTTTATTCAAAATTCGGACAGAAATTATGGGATGACCTGATACTTGGTTCATCTGTTTTTATAATCTTGTAAATAAACGTTGCCGAGGGAGTCAAAAGTGTATACAGTAATAGCAGTTTAAAGGGAATAACTTTCTTTTTGACAAACCTTTTTTTTCGGCCACAAAGGCTAAATTTTATCTGATTATTTCAAGTTTAAAAGTTTATTTTTATTTTATTTCTCAAATTTACGACGATTTTATTGCTCAGTCTTGTGTAAGGGTTGTCCAGACTGAGCAAAATCAAATGTATTATTCGAATGATTTCTTTCTTTCTAAAATGGTAAATGATAAATCTTTATAAAAGGAAAATAATAAATGTCACATTGTACTTGGCTCCCCTGTTTTTATAATCTTGTAAAGAAACATTGTCGAGAGAGTCAAAAGTGTATACAGTAATAGCGGTGTCAAGGAAATTATCGTCCTTTTGACACACCTTTTTTCACGAAGGTTAATCATTGCCTATATTTCAATCGATTTTATTTTCGTTTCCTGGAAAAAAAAAGGTAAATTAATTTCATAACTTTAAATGATTTCAGCATTAACCTTCTTAAACAAAACCAACTGATTTGTCACTTGGCTTGCACTTGACGCTTGTGGAACTCTTTTCCGGCTTTTTGCTTTCCAGTCAACATTGATCTTCAAAAATTTAAACGCAATGTCAATCGCTATCTTGTCTTCTTAATTCCTGTTCTTTTATTCTTCTCGCTCCTTAATAATGTTTTTCTTATTCTCATATTCTTTCACACTCAGTAACCTTTGCGTCTTAGTGACTTTGTTGTCTTCCTTGATTAAAAAAAATAGAAGCAACAATTATATTAACGAAGGTAACTTTTTAAACAATACATAATTTAAGAAAATCATAACCATACTTATTATAAAACCCAGGTTGTGTGTGTGTGTGTGTGTGTGTGTGTGTGTGTGTGTGTGTCTGTTAGTTTATATATTGGATCGGATTTGCTATATTTTTCAACCGATTTCACTAAAACTTCACAGGACTACGTAAAATTACCTTGCGGTGGTTCTGACAGAGCCAAAAATTGGAAAAAACAATTGTTTTTGCACGAAATCAATTTGAAAACACGATTAAGAGACATCGCTTTCGCGAGAATGAAAGGGGGACAACTCATATCGAATTATACTTATTATAAAACCCAGGTTGTTTGTGTGTGTGTGTGCGTTCGTTTATATATGGGATCGGATTTCCTACAATTTTCAACGGATTTCAACAAAACTTTAAAAATTTCATTTACAAGACAATTGTTTATAATAAAATTATATTCAATCGGTAGACTCATAACGATTGCAAACAATGTTTTTGTTTGAGTTTGGGTTTGACCAATTCGTAAAAAAAAAAAAAAAAAAAAATCTTATTAAGACATACGTGTCCGTCAATCTTAAACAATAATCTTTGTCAATATTATTTTTCAGTCTTTATGATGGTCGATACTTGATCTATCTCTTACTGTTACATCCCCGGGCAACGCCGGGCTCTACTGCTAGTTCAGAATAACAGTTATCTCCCTTGAATTTTCTATGTTTTCATTTTTTTCTTCGTCAACTGAACCATTTGACAACGTGCAAAATTGATTTAACGATTTCTGTGCTAGTTTTCAGAAAAATGACACCCATTGTTATGAACCTGACCGTAGCTGGACACTTGGAAAATCTATTTGGACCTAAGCACGTCTGGCTTTATGCCTTACTAGGCCCCTAGGCTAGTAGAATTTGGGGACCGGCTATTACGTTTGTTCGTCTCCCCCATGTCTATATAAAAAAATATATATTTTTAGATGGTGTTCTTTTTTGGCGTTAAACCTGATATTTTTAATGATTTCAGAACTCATCCAGTTTATTTTATTTACAGATGCAACTGAATCATTCAACAATCTTAACAGCTTTCACCGACCAGAAAGACGAACGCACTGCACATCTTCGAAGCTACGTTTTGGCGCGAAGTCACTTTGTGTGAGGGAACTGACGTCGCAATGAATTTGATGAACATGATACATAAACTCAATCAGAACAGGCAAATATATCTCGGTAAAAAAACTAGCGATAATTTATAATTGGTGTGCAACATTTAGAGTTGTTTATATTCCGCCCTTTGCTCTCATTTCCGTATTTTTTCTTTCTTTTTTTTTTTTTTAGCGCGACCCATTTTATTTATCGCGTGACCCAGTAAAGTGTTAAGACCCACAGTTTGAAAAACTCTGATCTAGAAGTTTCAACAGTTCTTTGTACTTGTATCTTTAGAAACACGGGATCATTTTATATTGAAGTCGTATTATACAAAAATAAAACGGTATATCGAAGTAAATGCCTATTGCCATAAATACTCATTCCGTTATATTTTCAACATTTTACCTGTAATAATTATACGCTCGTCCACTATAGCCAAAAGGAATCGGGCGGCATTTAAGCTAGCTCTTGCGGAGGGCTCTTGGTTGGGCCTTCATCACAATAGGTAGGGAGAATTAAATGCGATAGGCAAAAATAAACTACAGTACAACTCAAATTGATCACTACATTTAAGAATTTCATTAATATTTAAGATTACCTTTTAAAAAGTTCAACGATAATTCTTCTGACGCCACTTAATTTAAAAACAATACGCATGTCCATACTTTCTGTATCAACAACTATTTTTATTTCATGGATGACTTTCGCTGGATTTCGCAATTAATTTCAATTATTCCCAAATTTATTTGCAAGTTATAAAAATTGTTATCGTACAAAAAATTCGTCGCAAAAAATCACGTAAAAAATCGCCGATAACAATCGCAGTAATGAAAACTTGAGAATTCAAAATTTAAGAATTTCAAGTTCGGATCCAGCCCGGGAATGTTTTTAATTTGCTCACGGAGTCAGCCTGATTCCAAAACGGTATGATTTATTGGGCTACGGCCTTTAGGAGTAAAATTAAAAAAGTGTGACACAGTGACACATTGACATTCGCATTTATTATATAAATAAAGAAGAAGATATTGAATGTTAGAGATTTGTGTAATTTTAATTGAAAAAATGCGACTGAGTGGCACACTGACATTCGTGTTTATTTTATAGATAAAAAGATGAAATGTTTAAAGTTAAAGAGTTGTGTCCCTTTAATTGAAAAATTGTGACACACTGACTTTCGTATATATTATATAGATTTTACCTTTAATAATTTTACGCTGGCTTACTTTATTCAAAAGGAATTAGAGTCGTAAGCACTCTTTTCTAACAAACATAAACATTTTTTTCTTTTTTTTTTTTCGGAATTGTGAAAATGATTTTATTCCAAATTGCATTTGTGCCTTTTTTAGAAATACTTTCATGTCAATAGTAAATATGGTTTCGTTGACAAAACTAATCTGGCTGCTGATCTCAAAATGGACCTCCAAACTTTGGGGCTGGAAATGGCTTGTAAACTTTAATGCCTCCAAAATGAAACTGCTCTCCTTTACCCACCACAGAGAACCCTTCCTGACTACCATCAGAATGGCTGATACCCAACTCTTTGAGAGTGCCTCGTTACACTGGCTTGGTCTCACGCTGTCCCCTGACATGAGGTGGAATAAATACATTGAATCAATAGCTTCGTCTATCGCACAGAATATTGGCTCTTTATGTCATGCCAGAAAGTTTTTCTCCTCTGAGTCCATCCTTCAAATCAATAAATCAATAATCCGTCCTTGCATGGAATATTGCTCCCATATATGGTCTGATGTTTCCAATTTGCTTCTCTGCCTTGCTCTTTATAAATACTTTCATGGTAATTGTTCTGACGACCTCTTCAGTTCCCAGACTGTATGAATTTAAGCGCAATACTAGACTGGCGATGGGATCTTATAAATTTACAGTTGAGCTAGTTAGATATAGCCGGACCTTCTATGCTAACAGTTACTTTTCCTGCACTTTTCAATTGTGGAACTCCCTTCTGGCTACATGCTTTCAAACAAACTTTAACCTGCAAAAATTTAAACGCAATGTCAATCGCCATCTACTATCCTCCTGATTGCTCTTTTCTTCCTTCTCATTACGAATGTTTTTGTTCCTAAATTCCTGCACAAACTGTAAACCATTGCATGGTAGTGATTTCACGGGGCGATACCGATTTAAAAAAATATTTGGCCAATGAAATGTTTAAACGAACAATGGATTTGAATAAAATATTTTCAGTCGAATTTTATTGCTTTAACGTAGTTACAAAAAACAAAACAAAAAAAGAGAGACAGAAAAAAAAAACGGTTTCCTTTCGGAAAGATTCCCAGAAGAGATTCAAATTATTTTTTTTCTATATTTTGGTGGGATTATCACCTAGAAGTCATTTGTGGGGATAATTCCTTTTTTTTAAAATCGACGATGTCTGAGACAATGCGATAATGTTCACCTTGCTTTTTCAGTTGAATGTAGGGAACTTTTTATTTAATGCCAATTGGTTTACAGTATATAGTAATTTAAGAATTCATCGTCACCATCCATGTTTTCATATGCTGATCAACAGTCAGACCCACCAGCTTTTTCTGCAACAAAAAATAAAAATAAATAAAAAAATGAAGATAAAATAAAATAAAAATAAATGTAAATTATTTAATCATTTAACTGTCGGTTTCTGATAACTATATAAATATTTATAGCGATACTATTATTTCAAGGGCACAGAAAATTTTACCGCTTAACTTCATATAATCCAACGCTACATAAGAGTTCTCATGTTTCAAAACAAGTGCCGAAAACTTCAAATATATATATATATATATATATATATGAATTACATTAAAATGAAACTCAGTTCTTCCCCATTTTTATGTCCATTTCGCCCCTTGGGATAGATACCCTGGAGCTTGTAAATACTAAACCGTTTGATAAATAAATGAATCCTAACTTCTTTTTTTTAATTTAAAAAAGGATACAAAAAAGCGAGAGGAAAACAGAGGAACAAACAACAAATAAAGGAAAAGGCATTTAAGAGGGAGAAACAGGAAGACAGAACATATACAAGTCTTGACAGAAGTTCAAAGCAGTTGAAGATTAAAATTGATCGATATTTAAAATAATAACTCTTGTTCGAACAGGAAAAATTCAAATTGGAAAAAATGCATGAGAGAATACAATCATTAAAGTTAAGGAAAGGAAGAATTTTAAAGATTGTAGATAAAAGAAAAATTAGAATTTAATATTAAAACTATTATTTAATTTAAAATTATTATTTTAATTTTAATATTAATCAAAAGAATTTAATATTATAATAAAAAATTAAGTCATTACTAGTAAATAAGCAAAAAGTCTACTTCAACTCTATGCTTCTAACGCCTCCTCGTAAATCCTGATAATTTATTTACTATTTCTTTATTTTCCGTCGACAAGAGGAGATATCTTCACCCCTCCCCGATCTTTGGAATAGAGATCTGTCCCTTGTCTCCTGTTTAGGATTGGATTTCCGGTTCTTTCTAAACTTTTCTCCACTTTCACACCCGGTAGCCCCCCCCCCCACCTTGCGTCTTAGTGGCTTTATTGCCTTGCTTGAAGCGAACTGATTAAAAAGAACATGTTTAAAATCGGAAGATGCGACCACAAAAATCACTTGTGCCACCCTAGAAACACAGGTTGTCCCCACACACTAACCTATAGAAAAACTGAACTTACTTTTGCAAATATGAGCCACAAGTGTCCTGGCCATTTCAATCATTTCTCCTGAATCGGATGCTCGTAGAATATGACTTGACTTTCCGGATGCCAATGATTCAAGTACACTCTCATGGTTCAAACTGCCCATGTCGACAATAAATATTTCTATTCCTCTCGCCTTAGCCAACTCCGCTTCAATTCTCGCCCGTTTGGGATAGCTTAATTTACCCCTAAGGAACAAGACGCCAACCTTGCGTGCTTTTGGTCGGCCGCCATTTTTAGGATCAAAACCTTCCGTTCGAAGATCGGTAATCAATGAGTAAATTTCAGTCGTTCTGTAGCTATCAAAATGTGTCAGGATATCAGGAAGATTTTGATAACGATTGAGATGGAAACCTGAAAAAGGAAAAAAAAAAGAAAAAATATATATTATATATTCTTATATTACAAAGTCACATAAAATGTAAGCAGACACCATCCCCATTTTCATATTATATCACTTTATGAGCCAATGTTCTGCAGCAGGGTTTTTATTTACCTGGCAACCCATCAGTGGCTCGCGAGGTAAATAAAATGGGCCGTGACAAAAAAGAAAGAAAGAAAACGCAAATGACAGCAGAGTGCAGAATATAAACAAATTTAAATGTTACACAACTCTCATAAAACATTACTAAACTCGTATCATATATATATATATATATATATATATATATATATATATATATATATATATCCGTTCTCATTGAGTTTATGTATCTTGTTCATCAAAAGTGACGCCAGTTCTCTCGTTCAAAGAGACCTTGTGCCAAAACTTAGCTACGAATGTGTTGCCTTTTACAACTATTATTGGGGTTGATACACCGTAAAATAAAATAAACCAAGCTAAATTATTCTCTGTTGCATGCCTGCACGATTAGAAAATGTGAATGGTCATATTTAATCACAGGAAATTAATCCCAGGCTATAAGATTAAGTTTTTAGAGTAGGAATACATAGACATATATATACAGAAAGGACAAGCGAGAAAATTTTGTTTTTTGAAAATGTTTCCACAGAGAAAAAGATAATAAAAAGATTAATTAGATACACAGAGAGTGAAATGGTGGTGGAATAAAGTTATGCTTCCACAAAACTGAATCTTTTTCATAAATTGCCTCTTCAGATCGAAATATTCATATGGATGTCATGAATTGCCATAAACTGTCGCATTTCTAAAATCAATGGTCAAAAACGGCTTTGAGTAAGTGAATCCTGTGGGTCTGCTCTTTTACTGGGAAGGTTTTCTGAAGATAATGTGTTGTTTAGCTACTTCGGCTTGTATACGGAATTTGGATTCTGGCCGATTTCTCAGACATAAAATAATGGCGTCGTCTTATATTATTATATTAGTTTATACACGAGAAAATACGGCAAATTGGCTACGCTGAATTTAAAACAAAAGAATTCGTACATACCTTTTGTGTCTGGACAGGGTCCCGTAATGGTGCCAACGCGTACTTTACCATTATTTAAATCTTCAGCAGACACGACAGTTTTAATGAAGCGAATGGCATCTTCAGTACCACTCGTACCCATTTGAGCGGGGTCGAATACAAAGTTAAAGTCGATCTCCTGTCCGTCGCATGCTAGTTAAATATAAAGAAATTCGAATATGGGTTAAATTTAAAATAAACAAAGAAATAAAATGTGTCATTTTATTTAATAAATGAAGTGACATTGTAAATAAATAATAAATAAATAAATAATAAAATAATAATAATAATAATAATAATAATAATATAATAGACTCTCACGTTCCGCCTTCGGTGGAGGTGTTGTCGTCGTCGTGGTAGTCGTTGTCGTAGTAGTAGTAGTAGGAGGAGCAGCAGTTGAAGCAGCTGAAACAAAAAGCAAGATTTTAGAAAGCATTTCTTTCGTTTTATTTTATTGTATTTTTTTTTTTGTCCGGATAAAATGCAAAAGATGTTATTAAACATACAAAAAATTCCATGTAACTTTCCTGAATTTAAGAATTAAATTTATATCGTATTTGTGAACTTAAGAAATCATTTGTAGTATTATATCAAATTTAACGAACCACTTGTGAATTTATATCGGATTTATGAAATATCGGATTTAAGGAACCACATTTGCATTTATATCATATTGAAGGATTTATGGAACCATTTATGGAATTATATAGAATTTAAAGGACCACTTTTGGATTCATATCAAATTTAAGGAATATTGGTTTTAACGAACCAATTATGTGTTTATATCGGATTAATAGATTAACACTTGTGGTGTTATATCGAATTTAACGAATACCGGATTTAAGGAATATGGGATTTATGGAACGATTTCTTGAATCACACAGACCATAAAGAAATGAATTCTTTTATTCCTGCCGAATGAGGTTACATAAATGCTAGGAAAAATCATTCACTGAGACCGTCTTAAGTTCCTAGGTATATGTCAAATTTGTTTTCTTCTCATCCGTGGAGAGATTGTCCAACATTCACTAACATATGAGAGGATAGATAACACATAGTAATACATCATATTTTTCTTGTGTATCATCAAATATGTAATAAGTACATCTTTCTTGCTTTTTTTCTACCATTCTTTCCGAGTCGACAGACAAAACAACCTCATAGAAATATATAAAAGAAGAACTATAACTTACCTCTGCAGGTGATGAAACCAAGAGATTTTATGATGTTTTTCAGTGCGCGATAAGATCTTACTTGGAAAACGCCGTCGGGACTGCTAGCAATTGCGTGCAGTTCACTCTCATCAGTAGCATCGCCGACACCAATAGCAATAATGTCAACATCCTGGCTTTTCAGGAGATCTGCCTCTGCTTCTGTCTTTGACGGATTATTGGATCTTCCATCGGTAAGGACAATAGCAATCTTTTTAACATTTGGCCGAGCATGGTTGAAAAAATTGTTACGGGCATAAGTAATGGCTTTATCTGTGTAGGTCATATCTCCATACTGAGGTTCGAACTTGATTCTGGCAAGAGCCTTAAGAACTTCACGTTTATTGTTATTCGCTTCAAACCCGAAAGCCGAATATTTTATCACTATCTCACCGAATGTGACGGCGGCAATGCGAACATCTTGGGGACCAATTTGAAAAATGTCCACAAAACTTTTTATGAATCCCATGCCTACGATGAAATCGGGTTCATAGATACTTCGAGAATCGTCAATAATGAAGGCGATGTCAGCTGGTTTACTCTTGCATTCTGGGATGGAAATAACAGAAAAAATATTTTTAGGAAATCATAAAAAGAAAAAAAAAATGTAAAACAGGAAAGATTACGAAGAAGAGAATGAAATTTGGAATTGAATGAAAGAAAAAATGGCAATGAAAACGGAACGATACCAAAGATACCAATGAAAAGACGAAAGAACAGAAAGAAAAAAATACTATGAAACAGGAAAGCAGACGATACGCAAATTGCAGACGATACGCAAATTGCAGACATACACGGTAAATTGCAGGAACTCTTAGACAATTTAATAAGAAAGAAATAACCATCAATTCTAAGAAAATTCGAAGAAAGAAAACAATTGGAAAGGAATTGGCACTACTTAAAAAAATAGTTAACATTTTCAGGAAATACTCTTTATTGATAAATATTTTTTCGTCCGCCTTATTCTGCGAAATTTATTAGAAACCGGAAGCATTTTTCTCTTATTAATTTAGACGGTCTTTTATGTTCATAATATCAATAAGGGTCCTGAAATGGCTCCCTGATAAAAATTATTTCCGTAACAGATTTTCCCTACTTTTTGATGGCACCAGTTTTTATTCCGAGGGAATATTAAAGTCATCATTATATGTCAGTCAATCGTATTTCTAATACGTTTTCTCTTTCTAAGGAAAGCACATACGATACGTAAATTGCAGACATAGGCTGGAAACTGCAAGAACTCTTAGACAATTTGGTAAAGGCAAATAGGAAGAAAGGACTAACCATAAGAAAATAGAACGTACAATCGAAAAGCTGAAAAGCTCAAGATACGAGCTAAGTTGTCAAAAATAAGCACAAAAGTCCAGAAATCCAGCGATGCGGTTAGATTTTTGATAGAACCAGAAATTAAACTCACTGATACCTATCTACGGTAGCCGTGAAAAAAAAACTTGGAGGCTTGAATTAAAAGGAATAAGTTACACATCCAGAAGAAAATAATGAAAAGGGGTGTAATATTCAGAAGTAATTGAGATCTCCCTTCTACCCCTGTTGAGAATGGAACAGTCGACTCTAGATATAAGCAGTTGATGTTTTTTCCACATAAGTTTATTCGGGTTTTTCACTAGAAAGGGAAATAACTGAAAAAAAAAAAAAAAAAACAGACAATGAACAGGAACTTTTTTTGGTATTTAGAAATACATTTAATAACATACCTTGTATTACTACTCTGTTAGGACGACGAAGTTCTCGATCTAGGCAAAGAAAAAAAATTATGAATAAAGAATCTCGTCTTCTAAAAAAAAAATGAATTTAATGTTTTATCTTGAATTCGACATTACATATCAAATATAATTAACTCAGTCTTCCTGAGTATGACGATAAACTACATCCGGCAGTAAGGCCTCTGACTCAGAGATTTCTTAAATATTATTGACCCGGAGTGGTCGCATCTGTTAGGGGTCCCAGCTGTGAGTAAATAGTGAACTCTCAAACAAAAATCAACAGTACATTTTTATAATAAAACGAACAACAATATATTTTTATATCAAAATTAAAAAACAACAGTAAAACAATATAAACATACATTGGTATAGTAAAATGACCCAAAATACATTTTATGATAAAAAACTGTATATCTAAAAACATACATTTAACTAGCTTGGCCATAAATTCACTTAAGAAGCTGGAAGAAAATACAAATCTTGATCTCTAACTAGTGGAACTCCCAAGGAGTACAGCATTTCCAGCTTGTTTCACAAGGACACGCCATCAACACTAAACTGTATTGCTAGGAGCTAGACCGCGTGTACTAAGAAAGGAGTATCCTGCTTTGGTCAATCGAAATCGGGCTTTGTTTCGGCAAGACAATTCGAGTTCACACACTGCCAGGTTGACCAAGGAGAAGTTCAAACAGATGGACGGTGGTAAGAGTCTTCCACATCCACCATTCATTCCCGATGCTGCTCCGACTGACAATGGCCGACTCCGTTCAATGGCACACTTCCTCCACGAGCAGAGATTCAACACTTTTGATGAAGTGAAGAAAGCTTGTTTGCAGTTTTTATTATTATTATTATTATTATTATTATTATTATTCAAAGCCAGCGGTCTCGTATCTAGGCCATATTTAGTTGCTGGGTGATCGCTGGCAGAAGATGGTTGGGAATGTTGGTGCTGCCCCATATAATTCAGTTGTTTTCTTTCTGCTTCCTAAGTGAGTGAGGACGATCTGGCCAACCTAATATAATGGATTTTATTTTGAAAAATAAATGTTGGTTTAGTTCCATAAAGTTATGTTGTTTTCTGTTCGTTTCCTAAGTGAGTCTGGACTTTCTTTACAACAGCATATTTTTTTCAAAAAAGTTTATGTATGAAATATTTAAAAATATATCACTTACCTTTGAGCTCCTCAATTAATGCATCTAAGCTTCTGCTATCATCAGCGATGTCATCCAAAATGGCGGCATTCTGAATTTTACAAGATACTCATTGAATTCAGTAATTACCTGTATCATTTAAAGTAATTCAACATTTAATTTAACTGCGAGCGCTGTTCGTACAATGTAACCCAGTACTACCCGTCACATGGTAGGCTTAGTACCATATCACCTTAAACTACCGATCACCAAAGTTAAGCAACGTCGAGCCTGGTCAGATGTGTGACCAAGTGTTGTTAGATTGGATATTCAAGTAGTAGAAAGGGCTTACGCCCACATCATTTTGAAATACTGGTTATCGTACGATCACCGAAGTTAAGCAACGTTCAGCCTGGTCAGATGGGTGTCCGCTTGAGAATACCAGGTGCTGTGAGATTGAATGTGCGGATAGTATAAAGGATTTTCGGCGATATCACCTTGAAATAGCTATTCTCGTACGATCAACTAATATAAGCAACGTCGAGTCTGGTCAGTACCTAGATGGGTGACCGCTTGTGAATAACAGGTGATATATGTTTGTATGTGCGAGTGGTCTAAAAGACTTACAGTCGTAATACGTTGAAATATCGGTTCACGTACGAGCAGCGAAGTTAAGCAACGTCCAGCCTGGTCAGTACCTAGAACTGTGATCGCTTGGGAATATCAGGTGCTGTATGCTTGTATGTGCGGTTAGTGTAAAGGGCTTACGACTCTATCACAGTGAAATACCGGTTTCCGTACGATCCCCGAAGTTAAACAACGTTCTGCCTGGTCAGTAACCAGATGGGTAACCGCATGGAAATTCCATGTGCTGTAAATTTGGATATGCAGGTGATAACGACTCGGAATTTGAACTCGGAGAGCCGAGTTCAAATTCCTTTCAGGTTCGTTATATTCACTTACGCACAATTACTCTTGGGGAAGGTTTGAATTTACCTCTTCCCCCAGCTATGGGCTAATTAGTAGGATTAGTTTCAGTAAATCCTTATTATCTTCAAAAAATTCTTACAACCTAAAAATATTTTCTGGCTTTAAATAAATTGCTTGAGGTTGATAAACCGTAAAAAATAAATCAATCATTTGAAAGTCTGGTATCTACACGAGTGACCGCTGGGGAATACCAGGTGTTGTATGCCTGGATGTGCGGTTGGTGTTTCAAGGTGATATAGCCATAAGCAACGTTCAGCCAGGTCAGTACATAGATGGGTAACCGCTTGTGAATATTAGGTGGCGTATGCCTTTATGTGCAGGTGATAATTACTCGGAGTTGGAACTCGGAGAACCGAGTTCAAATTTCTGTTGGGTTCGTTATATTCACTTACGTGCAAATACTCTTGAGAAAGGTTGAATCCATCTCATCTCCCCCATCTATGGGTTAATTAGTATGACTTGTTTTAGTAAATCATCATTATCTTCAAACACTTCTTACAGTTTAAAAATATTTTCTTGCTTTAAATAAATTGTAAGGGGTTGATAAGCTGTAAAAAAACATCATGTTCGGACCATTGGCGATTAAACCGATTCCCTCTTCAGTCTTTTTCTGGTGACTAGAGTGACTAGATGGCAAGTGAGATAAAGAACAAAAGCTGTCAAAGGGCGGACAAATATTCTCGTGGGGTTAATGACCATCGAATACAGTACGATAGGATAGACCGAACTCCATAGCAATATATGCTGCCAGGGCAGTGATGACATCATATCGCTAGGCAGAGGCGTGCCTTCAAGTTGGAGAAAATTCGGCTGCTGAGAGGGATTTTTTTTTCGCCAGGTCTTGTCACCTAAGACACACCACGGATGATTGAATATCTCTCCGACTTTCAAACCAGATATCTGGAGAGAACGGACACCCGACGACGACAGCCTCTGTCAGGGGACTAATGATGACTTTATTTATATCATGCCATTATCTATTCGGGTTAAGTTTTTGTGAATTATTTTTTTCTCACTGTTGGATGCATACCGTAAGACAATGTTTATCAAGTAGGTTCCGCAATATTCGATCCTAACAAGTGCTCGTTTATTGTGACCTTTTGTCAGACTAGCCTAAACTTATTAAACGCACTATTTCGGAATATTGTTTTCATTATGAAGAATAGTTGATATGACATGTAAACTGTATATATCATTCGAATATTAAGTAATTCAATGACAAATGGGAAAACATTACGTTTTTCATTTAATCTGAAGAAGTCCTTTCGAAGGTCGAAATGTGTAATATACGATTTTCCCCATTTCCCCATTCAATTACCTACCATAATAATTATTATAGATGTTATAATAATTACAACGTTTCGATGAAGTGTTTTCCTGCCATCGTCAGTGTCCATTGTTTTCGGTTGATATGCGATTATGTTGCTCATTGAATTTTTTTTTAGCTGAATTAATATTTCACTTCTTGAACTATGAATTGAACTCACGACTATTATATTCAAGATTATGCAAAAACAAAAAAAATCACAATATAATATAATAATGAACATAATAAAAATCAATGGACATCTGACGATGACCAGAAGGTATTTGATCGAAACGTTGCGTCTATAACAACACTGAGAATAATGAAGATGGGATTAAAAGTCTAAGCATAGCAATTCTTCATTTCAAAAGATAAAAACAGTTAGTTAATAATAATAAAGACCTGACGATGACCAGAAGGTATTTGATCGAAGCGTTGTGTCTATAACAACATTGAGAATAATGAAGATGGTAACGATAGTCGAAACATATTGCCAATTCCTTAACTTAGAATTAAAAAAAAAAAATTTAAATGTCAAAAGTTATTTGTAACGAAGAAACGCCACCCCAAACTTGTGTGTAATTAAATTTTGTCTTCTTAATCTTGGTATCGCTTCTAAGTAGAAAAACTTTGGGAAGTTTTTAAATAAAATTTGTGCCATTTTTTTTTTAAACCGGAGATATTTGTGTTTGAAATTAACTCTCACTGTATTAAATAGTGTGATGGAATATGAGTCGTTTGAAAACATTTTTATGCGCAAATTTCTGCTTTTTTTGTTGAATTTTTGGAACGAAATTAAATCATTTATATTATTTACAGTCGGGCTAATGTTCTGATAACAACGTTTCGGTGGATTTGCCTTCTGGCCTTCTTCATATAGAATGGCCTAAAGCTGGCATGTCCAAAATCCGACCCGGGTGCGAATTACGGCCCGCGGTCAAATTCTCTGTCATAGAATCAATCACTTACGGCCCGCCATCATTGTCAATCAGATTATGTAAAGTAGTCACCTAAGAAATACAACTTCATCTTTTACCAAAAGATGGCAGCAACATTGGTTTATATAAACCTCCAGGCCATCATTGTCCAGACATTTTTAAGGCGCTATGACAGGGACCTTGACCTTTTCCAGTCAATTTCTAAAATACTGCCTTTGAACCAGACCACTGGCCGACATACTGCAGTCCAGATCTTAGTATCACTCTTCGCATTAGTGCAGTCAAGTTAATTGTTTTGGTCATCTGAGATAAATAAATTCTAAAATCCTAGTGAATTGAATTCGTTTTGTGTTGGTCAAAATCAGTTCTAAATATATTTGGACACTTGGACTTGAGTCACTTTATGTTTTCTACTTCTTAATAAGATGAATTTTGGCGCTGGAAATTTTCTGGCGTACGAGAAAAAAAAAAAAAAAAAAAAGTAAGAAAGAAAGAAAGAAAGCAAACTTACCCCGAGTAATGCCAATGTGGCAAAAAGGATCGCTTTTATCCACATGTTGCCAATGAGGAGTCTGGTGTTCGTGCTAGGCTCTTCCTTAAAAAAGTGTCTGGACAATGATACCCTGGAAGTTTATATAGAACAATTATTAAGGACTCGGGGTGATTATTTTTAAATGGTCAATCAAACGCGACCAGTAGGAGTGTTCCTGATAGGACAGCAATAGGAGTGTCTTTTGGCCATGCCACTGTCTCTCCTGTACCTCCACCACTCCTCTCTTTCTCTATTGGAAACGATTATACGTACATACGAAGGCGCTGGTTCTCACATTAGTGCATCAACTGCAACCTCTCTTTTTTACACTATCTCTCTGTATCTATGTGTGTGTTTGTATACACTACAGTTCAAAATTTTGAAGCCGCCCTCAGAATTCGCATGAGATGAACTTGACAAAAGATTGAAAAATAAATAAAGAAAGAAAGGGAATAAAAAAAAATAATAAAAAGCTCTCAGAGTCAAAAAAAAAAAAAAAAGAAAAGAAAAAAGAATGGAATCAATTATCAAACTTATAATTTGAGAAGCTTTTGCAACGAACGTCAAAAATTTGTGCTGCAGTAATCAAAATTAAAGGAGGATATTTTGACGAGAGCAAATATATATATATATATATATATATATATATATACAGAGAGAGTGAGTCCCCCGTATTCGTAGGGGTTAGGGACCAGAACCGGCTGTGAATAGTTACAATCCGCGAATAATTGTACGCCCCCCCACCCAATTGCTTAAAAGTACCTATTTTGATTGCTGAAACCCCACATGTCTTAAACTTTCATCGTAAACACTTTAGAACCATTTCAAACCCTTTTAAAAACATCTTTGAAAAACAGTATTGGTGACTATGCACTTAGAGTAAATTTTCTTTCATACGTACAATAACAGTTTTTAATTATGCATAGATCAACCATTAAAAATACTGTATAAAATATGGATAACAAGACATAAAATATAAAATTTAAAACATTTTCTATAAATGGAACTGTGATGATGCCTCCCCCAGACTTAGCAAAAGTCACCTTTAAGACCCCAGCCGCAGAACAAAGCCCAAGTACTATGCTTGTTTTGCTTTTGTTTTTTACAATGAAGATGCACAATTCTGCCAATTTTTACCATAAAAATGGACTGTTATATGTTTTAAGTCATTTAAATAACAGGGAAATAATACAAGAATATTTTAAATATGGTCTATCGAAAAAATACGCGAATCGAGGAAGTTCTGAGCGAATAATTCGTACATATGTTCTTCAGAAAAACACGTGAATATTCGGGGTTTCCGCGAATAACAAGTACATATGTTCTAAAGAAAAATCCGCGAATGCGTGAAGCCGCGAATGCTGAAACGCGAATAGGCGGGGGCTCACTATATATATATATATATATATATATGAAAATTTCTCCGATTTAACCAGTAGAGAAGACAATATTTATAAATAAAAATGACAATAAGAAAACTAGTAATTTTCGTATTTTGCTTTGATAAAGTCCACATTGGACGAAACGCGTCAGCAATTACCAGTTTTCCTATATATATATATATATATATATATATATATATATATATATAAAATGTATGTAAAATAGGCCGGAAAATTAGCTTGTCAAAGACGGATATATATAAAAAAGTTTTCAGTGCACCGTTTAGAAAAATGAGCTTACATTTTCATATTTCGTGTGAGTGTGTGTGTGTTTGTATGAGAGAGAGAGAGAGAGAGAATGAGTGAATTAGTGAGTCAGTGAGAGAGAGTGAATTAGTGAGTCAGTGAGAGAGAGAAAGAGAGAGAGCTAGGTACCTTCAAAATCGTGTGTGTGTGTGTGTGTGTGTGAGTGAGAGAGACAGAGCTAGGTACCTTCAAAATCATATTTGTGCGTGTGCGTGTGTTTGTGTGTGTGTGTGTGAGAGAGAGAGAGAGAGAGAGAGAGAGAGCTAGATATCTTCAAAATCATTTTTGTATGTGTTTGAGAGAGAAAGAGAGAGAGAGAGAGAGAGCTAGCTACCTTCAAAATCATATTTGTGTGTCTGAGAGAGAGAGAGAGGGCTAGATACCTTCAAAATCTTATTTGTGCGTGTGTGTATGTGTGTGAGAGAGAGAGAGAGAGCTAGGTACCTTCAAAATAATATTTGTGTGTGAGTGTGTGTGTGAGAGAGAGAGAGAGAGAGGGAGGGCTAGATACCTACAAAATCATATTTGTGTGTGCTTGTGAGAGAAAGAGAGAGAGAGCTAGGTACCTTCAAAATCATATTTGTGTGTGTGAGAGAAAGAGAGAGAGAGAGAGAGAGAGAGAGAGAGAGAGAGAGAGCTAGGTACCTTCAAAATCATACACACTTTCAAAACGTGAAATAAAAACAAGATGATTCCTCGTTTTTTAAGTAAACTTTTACCAAAACTCAGGAAATTATCGGATTTCAATTTGAATTTTAGGCTTTGTTCATTAATAAATGACCTTCATAGTAATGTCCCTTTTTTATTTTTTAACCGATTTTAAATTGATTGAAACTGCTTTTTTTAAATCGCTAAAATCAGCTAGATTGACAAATTTGTCAACGCAACATAATTCTTTTTACTAAAAAATCTTTCAGAAATAAAATATAATTTACTTAAACTTTATTTGAGGAAGTGTTGTAGAGTGGTTTCACAGTGGAGGCTTGCATTTGTACTAAGTCGGTCCTAAAATAGGTTTGACGTACAAAACGTTAGGAACTTCACATAATAGGTAATGACGCAGAGAAATCTAGTGGTGGTCGCTGATACTTTAGTATCCGACTAACGGTCGTTTGGCATCGACTGACTGACCAACGATATTTAGTCACCCCCACCCACGTGGGCATCATGTGGCACAAGACCGGTTTAACGTGGGATCACCAAGCCCGTGGGCTCGGCCAAAAAATATGGCCATTGAACCCGTATGAACGGGTTCAGGGTCGGTTTACCTCCCCGAAAGAGAATTCGCCCTTCGGCGTAGCCTCTTTCGGGTTCCTCCCCGCCCGAAGGGAGAGAGTTCAACGGATCAGCCAGTCAACTGACTGACCAACTATATTTAGTCACAGTCACCCCCACCCCCCACGAGGGCATCATGTGGCACAAGGCCGGTTTAACGTCGGATATCCGAGCGCGTGGGCTCGGCCAAAAATATTCCCATTGAACCCGTATAAACGGGTTCAGGGTCGGTTTACCTCCCCGAAAGAGACTCCGCCCTTCGGCGTACCCTCGTTCGGGTTCCTCTCCGCCCGAAGGCAGAGAGTTCAACCGATCAGCCAGTCGTCTGACTGACCAACTCCCTGAGCGACTGCTACTACTCCTACTTGTTATACGTGGGAGAGTCTATTAACTATAGAATAGGTGTGTTCCACTATAACAGTAAGATTAACATTAGATGTTAAAAGTCTACTTAATCAGAATTAAAAAAATATTATTTTCACACTGTTTACGTTTTCCTCGTCTTTATTGTGACGTTTCACCCGTTATACACTCCGACTTTCTTCAGGGGATATACGTAGGAATTTCGAAACGAACCCTTTATTTCGCCCACGGGGGTAGATTGTCCTCTAATTCCACGTGCCATGCCTTTTTGAGATGTCTCAGTATCAGTTATTTCCCTTTAGTAACTCAAATCTCCAAGTTTTGTTCCCTCTGCAGTGGCCAAGTATTGAACTCACAACTCTTTTGGGTCAAGTCACATTTTGGATTACTCAGCCAACGCTTTTATACACGGGGCCATGCGTGCATGGGCTCCCAAGGAATGGCACGTGGAATTAGAACAATTTTCCTTCGTAGATTAAATAAATGTTCGAAAATCCAACGTATATCACTTGAAGTAGGCCGGTGAGTACGACGACCGAAATGTCGTGAATATGGCAATAAAACTGAGTGTATATAGTTACAATACATCATCTCAGAAATATAGGCAGATATTGACGAATGCCGGAGCGTATAACGACCGAAACGTCGTAAATATTTGCAATAAAGATGCGGACAACAGACCGAACAATGTAAATAGTGTAAATAGTTACAATACGTCATCTCAGAAATATAGACAGATATTGAAGAAGGCCAGAGCTTACAACGGCCGAAACGTCGTAAATATTGCAATAAAAATGCGGACAGCAGACCGAACAATGTAAATAGTGTAAATAGTTACAATACGTCATTTGAGAAATATAGACAGATATTACTTAATTTCAGTTTAAAATATGGCAGAAAATCATTTTTTATCACTGGGGTGGGCATTTTCATGAGTCGTTGAGACATTTACCGATAACCTGACCATTGCTAGATTTAAGTGAGGGTGAAAATACTTATAGTAAAATGTAATATTTCAAATAATAACATTAAATTGAATTTTAGTTACTTTAGCTTTATAGTCTAACTTAGAAGACGTCTGTTGAGGAAATGTTAGAAAATTAGCAGTAAAATTTAAATTTACAATAGTTACCGCTCTTATTTTCTGATAATAGTATGTATGGACGTCCGTATTTACAAAAAAACGACTCATTTATACGCACACATAAAATTAAAAATTCTTATTAAAATACTGTTTTGTTTCTGTCGTAAACGCAGGTCATAAATTTATGCTGGAAATTTGAGCATTTTTTTTTTTTTGGCGCTGAAAAACACATTGATTTGGAAATTATTGCAAAAATCGGATAATTGTCGGTTTTCAATGTAACTTTCAAGACTTATCCAAAAATGAATGAAATTATTTTAAAATGTTTTCCTTTTCAGAAAATACTTGTAAATATTTTTTTTTACATATATTCCCCCGACCCCACTCATTTAATCTTATGAAATTTCGAGAACTGTTTTTTTTTTTTATGCGTGTGTGTGTCGCTTAATGTTTAGGTTAGTTATAAGAACAAGTCCCCGGAGAATATATATCATTAAATGTTTTGGTTCAATCTGGACACTCAGTTACACAAAATCTGTTCTGAATCATAAAATAAAAAATGTAACAAAACAAAGGCATTAATTAATCATGAAAAGTTTTTAATTTTTTTATAAATAAAATCGTACATTTTTTTCGATGAATAATGGAATTTTTTTCATTAGAATAATAAGCGTTTAAATCTTTTAAAATTCTATATTAATTTGTAGTGTCCAAGGGATATTATTAAATTAAAACTATGTACTAATCATAAATGGAAAAACTCAATACAAAAAATGAATTTGTGTGTATAAACATGTCGATTTTTAAATATGGCCATCTATACACAACATTATCATAAAATAAGAGTGGTAATTATAGCGAATCTATAATTTATTGGTAATTTTTTTAACATTTTTCATAACAAGCGTCTTCGTAAGTAAAGTAAATCAAAGTACCAAAAATTCAATAAATTATTAAATCTCCAGCCAGAGTACTTAAGGGATCGTTGGTTGATAGGCATACAAGTGAGGTGTCCGAACTACTTGACCGTCTGTCATTCGATATGATGTATGATTGGTATTGCTCCTACCATATCTCTTATTGCCTCATTCCTGATCTTGTCTCGCCTGGTCTTGTTCACTGCTTTCCTTAGGCATTTTGTCTCACAAGTGATCAGTTTCCTCTCATTTGTGATGTAAATGGTTAGCAAGCTTGTCTCTCTAGAACAATTGCGACTTAGTAGTGAGTTCGATCCTCACTGGGTGCCCCATACTCTCGGCCTTGTGCCACGCTGAGCTACGCTTGGAAAATCACTATAGCAATGACTTTTAACATGAGTGAATGGTTGAAAAATATAAACATTATAAATATAAAAGTAAAAAGAAAATGTAAAAAAAAAAACAGTCACATATCCCGGAAGTCTCTTGTGGCGTAGAATGTAACTACTGTTTCTTTAATTTTCTGGAAACTCTCCGCGTACCGGCAGACGATGGCTCGAGTATCAGCAGCGACGATTTAATTTTAATAAAACTCAAACATCGCCAGCTTCGCCAATTGCTTTGGTTAAGGCACTTAGTGTCCACTCTCTTCATTTAAGATTTCTTTATATACAGGCAGGAGTTGTTCAATCTTCAATTTCCGGCCTCTATAAAGTTTAAAAGTGTCTCTGTGCCCTTGTAGGTGATAAATTATTTTCCGCCCTAAAACACTTCTCCCACAGGCGAAACGTTGCAACCCTCTCGCTGTTCTATAGCTGTTATAGTGCAACACACCTATTCTATAGTTAATAGACTCTCCCACCACCTATAATAAGTAGCAGTAGTAGCAGTCGCTGAGTCGTTCAGCGAGTGGGTCAGTCAGTCGATGTCGGACGACCGTTAGTCGGATATTAAAGTATCAGCCACCACAACTAGATTTCTCGGCGTCATTACCTATTATATGAAGTTCCTAACGTTTTGTACGTCGAACCTATTTTAGGACCGACTTAGTACAAATACAAGCCTCCACTGTGAAACCACTACATAACAATATCTATTTCAATGGAAAGTGCTCAGACGGACTACACTCCTCAGTTCCACCAGTTCTAACCTTCACGGCTAAGACCCACCATGCCACACACTGTGCAACCGACTCCCAAGAGAATGCTTCCCGATCAGTACAATCTTAACCTGTTCGAGTCTACGGTTAACCGTTATCTTCCCGACATATCACCTTAAACTGTTCTTCTTAATCTGTAAGTTACTACTCGAGTGGTATAGGGTGAACGTTATTGTGAAAAATGAAAAATTGTAAATAATTATGTTAATGCTAGAATATAATATCAAAAATATTACTCGCGACTTCCTACCCCAAGGTTTTGAATGAACATGACCTTCATTCTTTTTAGAAAAATTTCAACATGTTATCTTTATAATGTAGCGTCTAAGTAAGTATAATGGTAAATTGAATTATATATGGTCTTTTACATTGATGGCGATGGTCGGCAATGGAAAATAAGTTTGGTTTGTTTTGTTTTACGGCATATCAACCTCAATGGGTTATTTAATGCCGACAAGATTTTTAGGATAGATTCGTATGAATAGAATATGTATTCTTTGGTTTAGATTGATTTGGTTTAATTTGTTTTACGGCATACCAAACTCAATGGGTTATTTAATGCCGACAAGATTTTATTGCTGGTAATATTTTTTTCAAAAATGTATTGCTGGTAATCATTTTTTCAAAAAAAGTATTGCTGGTATTTATTATGGGACCTTATCCATAATAACATAATGGACTATTCCATACGTAATAAATACTGCGCCTCAAGAGGAAGCTGACCGGCTGATCGGTTGAACCCTCCGCCTTCGGGCGGGGAGGAACCCGAACGAGGCTACGTCGAAGGGCAGATTCTCTTTCGCGGAGGTAAACCGACCCTGAACCCGTTTATACGGGTTCAAAGGGTATATTTTTGGCC